TCAGTGCAATAGTTTCATTTGCAAGTTGTTGTTGGATACAATGTCACTCTAATGCTTGGAATAAAATTTAAACATTAAAGATGGTAAGAGATTAACAGATATTTTATAGCATGGACCCTATGAATTAGCTTACAGTGCAATTTATTTTTGAAAAAAATAGCAAATCATCCAGTATATATGTATGCATACATATATGGATATGAATATATATTCATGAATATATATTTTAACATACAACATGTTATTTAACAATTAAAGAGCACTGTAACTGTACACACTAGATAAATAATCTAATTATGTACAAAATCTTTAGATGCTTTTAACAGGAAGTACATGTGGCCTTTGCTACCTTTTCAGTATAAATTGCTTTATCAACTGACATTTTCTTTTAACTCTATAATGAACATGATGTTCCCATTTTCTTGTCTAGTGCAGGTAAAAGCTAAGAAAAATCATGCACAGGCTCCATGGTTGGCTACCACTGCCCAGGAAAGAAATCGCATGGAAGGCTGAGAAAGTTATAGGCAGTCCATGAAGGGTGGGCTGCCACACTCACAGACCCAGCAGCACACAGTGCACTCTGTAGACTCTAAGGAACTACACACTGGAGACAGCAGAACTGTTCATTCTCCACAGTAAGCAGCTTATATACTCCGACATACTACCTCAGACAGCTCTTTTAGCATATTTGATGGAAGGCTGCTACTTTTTAACAATAAAATGTTGCATGTTAGAACCTAAAACAAATTCTGATTTTTCTACAGCCTTCTACATGTGCTTATGTGAGAACTTTCTAGGTCTATACCCAAAGACAGTAAAGGAGATTTAAAATTACATAATTGCGCAAAAAATATTTCATGTCACCCACTTAAATATCCAGCATCAAGTTAAAACTTCACTGAAGATAAATACTAGGAGGCAAGGAATTCCTACCTGTATTGAAAAATATGGAAACAAAAAGGAACAATGGCTAAGTAATATAACGGTGCTATGGAGAACAAATTAAAGGGCAGAAAGTTGGGAGCACAAATATTTAATGTTTTAAAAATATTAAATTCTACATAGCTTGTTATTAATTTATGCTCTAAAAGCAAATAATGAATTTAAAGACAATGCTTTATTTGCTTTCATCTTAGCAGAAAAGACAAAAGCATGCTACATTGTTCTAGTCCAGTATCAGAGAGACAATAGAAAGGTGTACACTTAGGTTTCTCTAAAGCAAAAGAGTGATGAGATTTTAATCTGTTTTAAAACTGAATTACCTGCTTTATATTCTAGTGTTCCATGGGTTTATTTAAGTAAAATTAATAAAATCTACTGGAAGAAAGGAAAAATACATCATTGTTTATTTTATAACCCATAAGCATATATTCCTGTATGTATTTTTCTACAATGATTTTTGGATTTTAGTTCAGTTTGTCTAATGTTCACTGAAAAGCCAAGGCCAATAGTGACTTATATGCCTACATAAAACAATAACAAATTAAATATGCCACTACTTATCCAGAAAGCTACACCTATTGTTTCACATTCTAATCATGCACCTGTGGAGTAATCAATGCTCTCATGTGGTTAGAGCTATGAGAACAAGTTAGAAATTGAGAAAAGAGTTTTCAATGCTCACTCATTTTAGAATCTACATATACTGTCTTATTTTATATTCTTTGTTATGACACATTTCTTCATGCAATGTAGAATATAAATAGGAAGTTCAAGTGAGCATAACTACAGCACTCGCTCTTAATGCAAGGACTAGCTCCATACCATTCCAACATGACGGCATCCAGACATAGAAATATGTCTACATAACAACAGCAAATATGTATCTCTAAGTATTCAGAACTCAAAAACTACTGATTTTTGCAATACTTTATTAAAAATAACTAAAATCCTCAGTTATATGTTTAAATTATGTAATCAAATCACATATAGTAATTGGCTTTCATCCAATTGTTGCTCACTGAGTAGCACTTCAATATGGCTGGGATAAAAGTTTAATTTTAACTATAATGCTTTAAAAGTAGATTGATAAGCCCATTCTAAAATTAAAGACAATTTTAAATTAACATTACTATATTGATCAGCACGCATGTGTTCCTGAATTTTAACAGATATGTTTTAACATAAATGCCAAGGAATTATTTCCAGAAAGAAAGCTGCCCTTTTTGAGAATTATATTTTGAAATAGCACTATAATATATGTATAGTATATAATACGAAGATGATGTATTTTCCATTAAAGCATGCCCCAACAGGGACTGGATGCTTGCTAGCACATCATGTGTTTTGTTTCACACTTTATTTTCAAAATCATACCCAAAAGGAATATCTAGTCTATAAAAATAAAAACGATATTAAAATTCTTTTGCCTAAAAACAAACTCATTGTTTGAATGTTAATCGTTGGAATGGGTTTACAATTTTACTGCAGAAGAATATACTGTATTAGAATGGTCTTTTAAAAAGAGGGCAGAAAATCTATCATTTACAGTAGTATGTTTATTTATTATAACAAAACTAAAGACCTTCATGTTAAACATCAATAAAAAAGCTCTTAATTACAATTACTATTTACATGCAACTCCAATTAGTGACTAATTAATGTTACAGTGTGTTAGTAGCACAGTCTTCCTCTTCTGAAGATGAAAACTTCTCATTTTATTTTATTGTTTTTGAAAAATAAAACTGCCAACAAAACCAAATCATTTCCTAATGATTTTCTGAGAAATTTATAAATAGAAGCATCAAAATTGGCCTTTAACAATTGTTTCACTCTTTGGATTCAGTCTTCTAAACTTGATTTTTTTCCCTAGATGATCTGAGCTTTATCTTGATAAGTATTGCATTTAATTTTTTTTCAGGCAAGCAAAGCAAATGGCACCTTTTTTTGATGAGATTGATGCCACCTTTTTTTCACAGATTTTATTCTGAAATCTAGCATGAAGTACAGATGTCAACTACCATTCCTCCAAAGATAGAATCGCTAACTTTGCAAATAAGTAATTGCAGAAGCAGGAAGGTTTCCAAAAGCGTTGTTAATATTACCTTAAAGACACTGACTTTGAGCTATAAAGCCCATTCTTAGTCCATAAAATAACGTTTCTCATAGTATAAAAATGTTTTCATACTCTCGTTTGAAACAACACAAATCCTTTCAAAGAAAAACAAACATAGTTCCCTAATTCCTATCTTAAATGCCTACTTGATCTCCTTCATGTCTTTAGCACATATCTGACCAGGAAAATTGAGTTATTTAATTTTGGGAAAACATTTATTTCAGATGTTCTAATTAAAAAAAAAAACTTTACACTAGTATTTTACTATGACATGCTGAATGCTGTTTGTTTGTTTGTTTATGTTTTGTTTTCCTTAATGGAAGGAAGCACCCTTTCCAATTAGCAGAAATATTGGCAAATCAATTTAAAACAACACTAAAAATGTGCATTCCGAGTAAGTTAAAGATGTGGCTTGTTAGAAGCCACAACTTATTTGACACAAAATGCATGAGAGGCACCCGAGTTCTTATGTAATAGGCCGAGCTTCAAAAGCACTAAAATATGAAGTACGGTTTCTTAATAAGACTGGGTGATTTTGTAGCATCTTAAGGGAATTCTTAGAGTTCTCATGTTTAAAATTAAACAGTTGGAACGTTCTGCCAATTAAACGAAGCTCTACAGATGGCTTTTACCCTTTTGCTTTATAACAAAAAGGATATGCAATCATTTTTATGGAAGATTATCGAAAGAGAACATTACTGTAAATCATACCATAAATATTAGACACCCCCTTTCTTCTGGCTAGGAATAAGCATCTCTAGATGCTTGCACTGACACCTAAGGTGATAAATGTTCTAGGCCAAATCTTAAATAATAGCTGTCGGGTTCCAGCTAGTACAGATGCACTTCTAGTGTACCCCCAAAACTCCAGGATTCAGCTCTCTGCCAACAAAGGACAGCAAGTGAGTCCCCGCACCATAAAAGCCGCACCATAAAAGCCGGGAAGGCTACCATGGGCTTTGTTTTTGTTATGTAAAATGCATTAAAGTGACTCACCCACTTAAGACTACCTACTCCAAGCAGCTTTAAAGTACCTTCAAGAACCAAAATAAATGCTTTCCCAGAATGCCAGATAAGCTATTCAGCGCATTTAAAAATATGTATATGTGCCACTGACTCTGATTCCTTCTTGCACCGGGAGAGAGCAGAGAATGGTTGCATTGCACTCCCTTCCTGCAGTGTGACTATAGCTACCTCTCAACACTCTATTTCTAGAATAGCAACGGTTTCTTTCTCTCTCTCTTTTTGAAAGTTATTTTAGAAATGTTAAAAATAAGGGAAAATTGCAGGAGACTGGGGAAAGAGTTCCACCCTCAAAGAATAGGGGTTCTATTCATTCTAAGAACAGGAACCGCGTGTCTGTCGGCACTTAGATGTTTCAAATAAAGGGTTGGGTAGGTTGGCTTGGGTGGCCCTTGTTACCTGTGAGCGCTGGGGTGGACAGTTCGCTCAGCTGCCGGGAGCGAGCTGGCTAGAAACCAGGGAAGCTGTCAGGCGCTCCTAGTAATTTGGGATCTAAATGAGTTTGGACAGCACAGCAATTAGCATCCTAGAGGCCAAGTACAGGAGAGGCGCAAGCTACCCGGGTCAGAGTGAAATTTACTCTGAAATACCTAACAGAAACCCAACTTTTCATCTGGCTGGGTTTGGTGGGAACTGGGTATGCCTACAAAGTTTTCCCCCCAAGTCCGGCTACAGTCTTCAGCCTGGAGCATCCTCGGAGACCAGGCTGAGACGCCGCCGACGGCTGGCGGACGTTCCCTGGGACGGTGCGACCGGCCGAGGCTCGGCACGCCGCTTCCGAGCTCACTCCAGCGGCCAGCAGCGCATCACGGGGCGGCCCAGCCTCCGAGGCTCCCAGCCGCGCTCCCCGCCCCCACGGGCAGTCCGCCCGGCATCGAGCGGGGACCCCCGCCTCCAGCCCCACCCGGGCCCGCCGACTTACGTGACGGGCGAAGGGAAGGGCTCCTCGCTCGAGGGGCCGATCAGCCAAGATTGGAAAAGTGTCAGAGTCAAGGCCAGCAGGCAGCCAGCAGCCATCTTCGCGATCGAAGATCAGTGCCCTCCCTGCCGGCCCGGAGGCGGCGGAGCTGCACGCGGCGGCGGAGGGACCGAGCCGGGGCGCCGACGTCTGCCGGAGGGCGCGCGGGGAGAGGCGGGCAGGGCACGGGCGGGCGGGCCGGGCGGGGCCGGCGGACTCTCTAGCGCGTGGCTGCCGCTCCGTGCCACGGCTGCCTCGCCTGCGCCGCCATCAAGGGCGACTGTGGAAACGGAGCTCGGCCAGCCTGCCGGCGCCCGCGCGCTCTGGCTCCCCGCGCTCGCCTCCCTGATTTATCCGCGGTCGCCGAGGAGAGGGCGGGGGCGGGGCGGGGGCGGAGGGGGAGGCGCGGGGACGCGGCGGCTGCGGGGATGGGGATGGCCGGAGCGGGGCTCGGGCTGCCTTTCCCCGGGCGGGTCTCGGGGAGGCGGCTGTGGGTGGGCAGCGGGAGGGCCGGGCGTCAGAGCCGGGCGGGGACGGCCGGGGCGCAGCCCTCCATACAAGGCAGAGAGGAACTCCCAAAGTCGCCGTCGCCTGCTCCCGCCGCGGGGCGTGCGGAGGCCGAGCGGACCCAGCCCGTAGGTGCTCCCCGAGGGACCACCGGCCGCCCGCGGGCATCTACCGCTCACGCAGGCTCCTGCCGAGCACTTTGCTCGCCTCCCCCGGGGTTATTTTTTGCACAATCTGGCAGGGGCCCCCAAGCCCTTCTCCCAGGCGGAGAATCCGCTGCCTGCCTAAGAATCCTGAAGTGATTTGACAACAAACGTAGGAGGTTTGTGGTGCTTTTGAAAACGCCGCTGTGGACTCAACCAGGTGGCAGTGGCTTGCATGGTGTGCCAGGGGTTAGGGCCTTAGACTGGGCTCTAACTAACGGTGCCAGCGGCCCTACGCCCACGTACAAGTAGACTCGGTTTACCTAGCGGGGACAGAGCCTCGGGGGCGGGCTGGGAGTTGATGAAGAAGGAGCTGCAAGATGCTGTAAGATGTCTTTCCTACTGTTCCACCGGAATGAAGACTAGAGAAACGAATACTCCTTCGAGGGTGGTTACTGTTGCAAGGGGCTTGATAACATCTTAGCAAGCAACCTTCCAACTGGTTGAAAAATTCCCTGTCCTGATCACTGGACTGCTTTGTGAACAAGGTTGCTGTCTGCTGAATTCACTTTATCAGTGTGAACACAGAAAGGAGGTTAACATCAGAAACAGGTGGCCCTCTGCAAATTGCATCTGAAATGTGGAGGAAGGGCTGCTTTTACCTCAACCCTAAGGAGAAGCAGGGCTAGCGAGGGTCTTTGAGAAGGAGCAAAACAAAAAAAACAAAACAATCCGGGTCTTCAACTATACCTTCCCTGCCTGGCTCAGGCCCCCTTCGAGGACAGACTTGGTGGGCCGCTGCTAGAAAGGCTTCAGGGAACAGCCCAAATTCGGAAGCTGCTTGCTGAAGGATATGAAAACACTTTGACATGAAGTCAGAGAATACAGTTCATGATGAGAAAAAACACCCTCAAACTAAAGCGAAGAATCTGTAATGATTTTGTGGCTATTAAGATTGTTAATCACTCCTATCTGAGGCCCAAGTTTTTAGAAAAGGGTAGATAGACCCCTACTCATTTGGTATTGACCAAACAAAGAGATGGTGATGGTGACTGCTGAGCAGCTCACAAACGTATTTGTGATTTTATGGTGTTTGGCCCGTAGGTTAGCGGTCCCTTCCCCCTTATCTCTCCCTTTTCACGCCTTATTTGTTTTCTTTATGTCCTCTGCATCTCTATCTTGCCCTTTGTTTCCTTCTTCCTACTCTGAGTGGCCTGACAAAGGCACCCCAGAGCGACTTAACTTAGTTTGTTTTGTGCTAGGCACCAGAGCTGCAGGAATGAGGGATGCAGTGGCTGTAATGGGATTTGGAGCTACAGCAGATACAACTACAGCTACAACTGCTGATACCTTTCCTTCCCCAAATTAGACACCCATATAGTCAAATCCATCGTTCTTTACAATTTTTAATTATTCATGGGCAGATCTTCTCTTGCACGAGAATTAGACAAAACAGAATTAAATGCTCATTATTGTCTACATAATGTACTGTTCTCATAATTGATTTACTATATTAAAATATCGTTATAATATATTATGTCAATTATTTCATTAATGCTTCAGACTCTTTACCATTGTATATTATATATATATATATATATATATATATATATATATATATATATGTAATTTCTTTTCTTGGAAGAAAAGGCTTATATAGAATAAAAGAATGTAATAAAGTCTTTGAGAAGGTAAGTCAGGCTTCATTATAAACTTTATTGGCATTGAGCCAGATCTCAGTGTCTTTAGATCACTCTGATGATGTACTAGGTTCTCCGGTATCTGAAGCTATGATAGAGAGAGAGATGCTGCTTCTACAATTCTTATTCTGAAGGGTTGGTGTTGTTCAATCTTTTACTTCTCTGCAGTGAAATTTAGCTGTTAATTCTTTTTGTTGACACAAAACGTTTTAATGAAAACATTAAAAATGAAGTTTTAAAAAGATGTATCTATGATTGCCAAAACAACCTCACAACATGCATTATGCTTCTGCCGGATTAACCATATCCTTACACAATGACTTTCTTTTTTTCATCTCAGTTGTGGTTTGGGGAGAGGCTTCATAGAGCTCAGATCATAATCTATTAATTTTGATAAAAATTCCCTAAATCTCCAAAATCTGTCATTTAAGTTAAAATGTTTACAAATCACAGGGATTGAAAGTAAAAATGACTGTATTATCACCTAAAACAAGATCAAGAAGCCAAAAATTAATTTCTACAATTTATTTAAGCAAAAACACTTTATTTGGAAAGTAAATTAGTGAAGCAATGCAGATTTTTTGTATTTCATAATTTCTGTAAGAGTTTAAAGACAATACATAGAAAATATTAACTTTTGTTTAAAGCAAATATATGATTCATTGTTAACTCTCAATAGTTATTTGATATCAATGAAAGATAAAAAGAACAGGAAGGTTCAGCTGTTTTACCTCCTTAGAGATTGTTTTCAAGAGAGGAGTGGAAAGAAAGCAACTTCAAATATCAAGTCCCTGGAGAACGGACAAGGAAATGTGCAGTGCATTTTAAGTTGGAAAGAAAGAGACAGAGTTCTTTTTCAGTGTTTTAAAAATAAAGTGGCACTAAAAAAGCCTTAATTTAAAAAATGGAAAAAGCAACTATTCTAAATTAAGAAGAGTCAAATGTTTCCTATAAACAATCTAAAATAAATTTTTTTGGCCCAAGATATATGGATGGATGATAGATAGACAGACAAACAGACAGACAAACAAGGCATTCAATTTTTATAAAAGAACTGCTTTCTAAGCGAACACTAAGGAGCATTAAACGTATTTACTGCCGTCCATTGCTTGTTGTCTTTGTCGGATTTATGCCACTCTGCAAAACATCCTCATATCTGTAAATAAACAACACCTCCCCCCAACACCCCCCATCTTCCCCCAGGATCTCTAATGCTGTCCTGGAACTCACTATCCTGGAACTCACTATGTGTAGACCAGGCTGGCCTTGAACTCACAGAAATCTGCCTTTTGAGTCCTGCGATCCACTTAAAGATGTATACTACCACATCACGATACAACAGTAGCTTTTATGTAATTCTGCTTTAAAACTGCTAATCAGATAATTTGACATTCAGTGTTTTTGTTCTTGTTACATTTTCCCTATTCCTTGCTGTCACTTCTGTTACTCACAATCATATCTCAGTACCTACAGAAAATAATGGCCCAAAGCATGACTTCTACTAAAATAAAATAAAAAGAATAAATAAAAAATAAAATATAGAAAAGAAAATCCGACTTTTCTATTTTCCTACTTTTCTCTAAAATCTAGATTTCATGGAAAGAACCTTCAATCCATAAACAAAGCCAGAACTGTGTTTTGTTTCATTCTATTGGTCTGAAAGTTACAGCGCAGTATATAAAGTGTATATCCACAGGCCTACCTAAGCAAAGGGAAGAGGGGCACTCAATTATTTATCCAAACATTCACTAGCAACAGCAAAGCAGTGGGAAGCAGTCAAGAAAAGATAGTAAATATTGAAATGGCCAACAAGACTGACTGCTAGCAAATAAGACAGTCTTACTCTTCTTATATATATGGGTCTTACTCTTCTACTGCCTTGTTTTCGTAGTTTATACATATACAGACTTCCCACTACAGCCTAGAATGCTTCTATACAACAGAGGCTGGTACTCACTCATTGTAGATTTCAGACATGGTGCAGCTCAGATAAGGGTGCACAGAAGCATTGCAGAAAAGGGTGGCCAGGGGTAAAGAACACGGGGAAGGAAATGCAGGAGCCAGCATTTTACAGTTGTTCCCACGTGAGTTCAATTTAGAAGTCTGAACTGCCTAATGTTGTTAGAACATATACAAGACTATCTGAATACATATAGGGAACTTTAATCTTATATATTTACTTTACTTCTTTCTATATTTCATTCATAGATGACAAAATAAAGGTCATGTATAGAGGAGAGGTGTGAACTTTTGTTCACATCTTGAAAACTAATACAATAGATATTATCCAGCAACAGTATTTTACTCAAGATATGAACCATGATCAAAAGTGATCCCCAAGATTCTGGATAACTTAGGGAAAAATTACTATGATGCCCAAGCAAGTAGAGGACTGTCAGATACTGTCTGATGTTTTCTTTCTTTCTTTTTCTTAGCAAATTATCACTATTTTAAATATCGCATATCTTTAAAACTAGACAGAAATTAGAAAAATTCTGTTCTAAGTAGCATGATTGTTGTCCATGATTGGAATTCATAGACATCAATTTCCATTTTCTTACTCACAAGTGTAAAGGTTTTCACTCCATGGCCTATTCTTTAAGGATAGGTCTCTTAGAGTGTCCGTAGCTAACTAGAAGAACTGTAACAAATGTGTTGACCAGGGTGGAGATGGCCCACAGCAAAGCAGTGGAGATCCATTCACTCCTT